ACTTTGGTGTCTCTGTCCAGCCCAGGGTTATCTGTGTCAATAATTACCTGTGCCAATGGTTAGCCATGCTGACAGTGAGCTGTGCTGGTGGTTAGCTGTGCTGATGGTTAGCCGTGTCAGTGGTTAGCCACGTTGATGACACTGTGGCTGCAGAAGCAGGAGCCCCAGTCTTGTCTGTGTGGTCTCCTGGCTGTCCTGGCCACAAGCCACTTATTTTGGTACTCACCAATGAAGGGATGGCCCTGACCCCTGGTTCTTCCTCATGCCCACCCCATCTTCACTGGGGCCAGGGTTTGGGCCAGGTAATGGCTCAACACAGAGGGGACATTCCAAGTGCTGGACACAGACAGCTGGGCTGGAGGCTGGGATTTGGTCCCTGCACAGCCACCCCTCAAGAATTTCATGAGTTTGCACCAACTGCACCAAACCACCTGAGAAGGGAAGAGAGAAAAGTGAGCTGTAAGCACTATGTCTTTGCTCTCCTTCTGCATCTTGATTAGTTTACCATTTCAAAAGGAAATTTTGCTGTGCTGTTTCCAGTGATTTCCTACTGTTAAAAAGAGGCAAAAAGGCCCCCAAGCCTAATCCAGGTGCTCACTCAGCCGATTTGTTCCCAAGCATCGAAGCTTTGAACTGATCAGAGCGAACGCTATCCTGCCTTGTAATCTCCAAGTGGATTTGGATGTGCTGCATTGTGGGTGAGGCGGATTTGAGGCAGATTCACACCCTTCTGTTACTCCTTACAATAAAAAGGATTTTTCTTCATCTGCATTCAGCACGTGACTTGGTTCCTTTCCAAACTGCCAAGGGATTTTTGCATTTGTAAGGGTTTTGTTATTTATCTCTCCCATCAGCTACAGGAGTAACTCACATGTTAGGAATATTGAATAGGTGAGTCTGCTGGAAAGATGGGGAACTGTGGGGGGCTACAGCCCCAGAGCTGGACCTGAGTTGAGCCCAAGGCCTGCCCAGGCTGCTCGAGACTCCTTCTCACAGCTTAAATTAGCTACAGAAACGTGGTCAGTGTGGGAAATAAATATTCCCCTCATTTGTAGTTATGCAGATTTATTCTGCCCCTGTCCCTGAGCTGCTGGTTCTTTCGCTGCCTGTTCCTGCTCCTGCCTGTTGCTGGCAAACTGGGAGCTGTTTGACATGGACAAACACATCCCTGGTGTCCCATCAAAGCAGCTCTCCCCCCGCCTGGGTTTGGGACTCCCAGGACCTCGGGGTGAGCAGGTGGCAGTAGCCAGTGAGCTCTTGGGCACAGGACCTCACTCCTGGCTGCAGTAGCCTCAAACCACATCCTGGGGCTGGCTGTGCCACAGCTCTGGAGCAGACGGTTGCATGGCAAGAGCTGCCAGGGCCAGATTCCTGAGCCCTGCAGCCTCCAGAT